TTTTTTTCAGGTCTGATTTTCGCTATTGCATAAATAGCGCTATCTACTGCGAGGATCGCACATCATACGTATCTAATACCGCAGTTCAAAATATATGAACTTCATATATTCATTGCATCTCATTTATCACTTTCACGGGTTTATTACGAATCAACTTAACGGCCTGCTCCCAGTTGGCTTGTTAGCTCAATTGGTAGAGCGCTGCACTAGTATCGCAGAGGTCAGTGGTTCGAGTCCCGTACAGGCCTGATTTTTTTCAGGTCTGATTTTCGCTATTGCATAAATAGCGCTATCTACTGCGAGGATCGCACATCATACGTATCTAATACCGCAGTTCAAAATATATGAACTTCATATATTCATTGCATCTCATTTATCACTTTCACGGGTTTATTACGAATCAACTTAACGGCCTGCTCCCAGTTGGCTTGTTAGCTCAATTGGTAGAGCGCTGCAATAGTATCTCAGAGGTCAGTAGTTCGAGTCCCGTACAGGCCTGATTTTTTTCAGGTCTGATTTTCGCTATTGCATAAATAGCGCTATCTACTGCGAGGATCGCACATCATACGTATCTAATACCGCAGTTCAAAATATATGAACTTCATATATTCATTGCATCTCATTTATCACTTTCACGGGTTTATTACGAATCAACTTAACGGCCTGCTCCCAGTTGGCTTGTTAGCTCAATTGGTAGAGCGCTGCACTAGTATCGCAGAGGTCAGTGGTTCGAGTCCCGTACAGGCCTGATTTTTTTCAGGTCTGATTTTCGCTATTGCATAAATAGCGCTATCTACTGCGAGGATCGCACATCATACGTATCTAATACCGCAGTTCAAAACATATGAACTTCATATATTCACTGCATCTCATAGCGCTAACTCGCCGAAAACGCTTCAAAATGGCCTGAGACGCTAGAGAAAATCAACAAAGAAAACAACAAAGAAAACAACAAGGCAATAAGGTAAGCCCAAGTTATTTCAAAACAAGACATTTTTTACTCTCTTTCAAGGCAAACCGATAACATCCCATACAAACCTTTATAAATATAAAACGTTGCGCAACACGGTAAGAGTTACGTCCGCTTTTCTGGTAGTGAGCTTGGGCTGCCTGTGGAAAAGTGTGTTTTTCCATGTGTTTTGTCCAAAACTTTCATCTACAAGACAGCTTCGTAAAGGGACGCTCACGTGTTACCAGTCTTCTCAGGTCTGCATTGGACGTTACGAAAGCACTGGATGGGAAGAAAAAGCTCGAAGCAGTATTTCTGGACTACAGTAGAGCGTTTGATTCTATCTCGTTTAACTGATTATCAAGGGAACTGTTTAATGTTGGAGAGAGAAGCCGCTATCGTGGTTTAGAGGTACTTTCAGAGATTAATTGCATAGAACAGTTAGTAATGGTCAGGAATATTATGTATCACCTGTTTTATCTGAAGTGCCCAAAGTCCATTTTAGGTCCCCTACTTTTATAACCTACCCCACCCCCTTGTAATGGATGCTAGAAATCCTCTTTAACTCTATGCTAATGACGTGGAGTATTACCGAGCTATTGATAATGTTTCTGATGTTAATCAACTACAAAAGAATACTTATCAAGTTTAGATAGCTGGTCGTCTGAACACTTCATGTAGTTTAACGCTAACAAGTGCAAGCATTTTGTTATTACAAAGACACTGAACGACCGAGGGGGGGGGGAGTGCGAAATTTATAGACATAGCCATCGAGAAAGATCTTGGTGTCAGTCACGTTTCGTACAACCTATCACTGAACGATCATAGCTTAACTATTCATCATGGCTTAACTTTTTAGTGGCTTTACTAATGTTTAAAAACATTAAGTCATTAAAATTTTGGGCATTATCAAAAGACCGCGCAAAAATTAATTTGATCAGAAAATATTACTGATCCTTTGCA